CCCCCCCCCCAGCTAACACTGGCTGCCCTTGGCACACCTGTCACACTCCAGTCATGTTTTCATCACCTTCTCCATGCGCTACAGCCTCCAGAGCAATGAGATGCACTTGATGTCGGTGGCCCCGTTGCTGCACGAACTCCCGCACAATCTGGCCACCTTCTGCAACGCGCTCATCTTCAACCCCTCCACCCAGCTGGCCAGTCGCATGATTCGCTCGCAGACTGATGTCTCCGGGGAGATTGTGGCCCGCCTGCACTTCCTGGCACAGCAAACCCCGGAGTCCCCGTACGATGACCCGCCGCCCTTCTGGGAGTTCTCTCTGCGCTCGCAGCTGTCCTCCAAGCGGGCCAATCCGCTCATGGCCCTGGTCAGCGAGAAGCGCGAGGCCATGTTCTCCAGCTTCTGCCAGCATGCCATTGGCTATCAACTCTTCACGCCAGGGCCTTCGGTGGACAACTTTGCCAAGCAGATTCTCGACCCGGTGGTGGAATTTGTTAAGATCGTCTCCGCATAATGGGACACAGGGATGTGTGTGTGTGTGTGTGTATCTAAGTGCATGTGCACACCAGCCGGTGCAGTTTGTGCAAGAGTCCGCTAGGCACCCGGGCTTCTGCGGACGCGAGCACGCACCCCTTCCCCCCCCCCCTCTCTGCGAGCTTCCTCCTCCAGCCCCCTTTCTCCTTCCCTTTCGTTTTCCCTCTCAGCGCCGCTGCTGTGCAGTTTCAGCAGGCTGTCCCCGGCCGGCCCCGCGGCGCCATCGTCCAGCCCCGCGCGCGTGCCCCCCGTGCTCTGTCAATATCATTTCACATTACCGCGTTCTCTTGTGGGTATCTGCTTCCTCTCCTCAACTCCGAGACACTGTTCGTGCGGATCGGCCCAGCCCTTTCCTGCACTGTAGAGGAGACCTAAAGCAACAACAGAAGGAGGGCGGTGGGGCGGGGGGGGGGGCGCAGGAGGGATCGAAGAAACACAGGGGTCAAAGCGTCGGGAGAACCGAGTTGGTAGATCGTTCGGTCGCGTCCGCCAGGTCACCTGACCAGACACAGCCCTATCCGGTGGCAGTTCCTCCTCCCGCCGTTTCCTCGGCCACTACTCCCTGTTCTCCTCGGTGCTGGCGTTCTCGGGGCCTCTTCGGCCAGGAGCAGTAAACACGTCCCGGCATGCGAG